GTGTGTGTGTGCGTGTGTGTGTCTGCAGGCTAAAATCGAGATCTCTTTTAGAAGCACTGTTTGCTTTTGATCATCGTGAGAGGAGAACGCATCTGTCAACCTGTAAATTGGACTGAACATGTTGTGCTGAGTGGTTGGTTTGCCGGGTTTGTTAAAAAAGGCCTCATGTTCTTTCTGCTTCACATGAAGGTTTCACACGATTTTGCCGTGAACTTCGATGAGGACAACCCTGAATGTGCTGGTGAGTTCACACACACACACACATACAAACACGCCCAACATGCACACTTATAGCTAACAGGACCAAAACCTACAGTATCGCTGCTGCACTTTTCTCATCTCAAACGCTGTCAGTCCCATATTTCTCCCACTGTATCTGTTCCCATCCTCTGTTTCTTCCTAACTCACACAGACATGCACACACACTTTTATACACACTCACATAAATGAAGCTGGGAGATCTGTCACTATGGTGCACGAAGCATTTCAGGCTCTATGATACAGAGGAAAAACAACACTAATCTGTATGTGTGAAATGGGCTCCTGTGCTCCTCTCCCCCACTTAGCTGCGTTCCCGTTGCGATGCAGTGTGTGTGTCTGCCATCTCGTGTTTGTGTGGACTACAAGGGAATGCTTTTTGAAAAAAAAAAGAAAATTCCCCGTAACCTCGGAGCACAATCGTACGTGCAGAATCTGATTTGCTTCAGCAGACACTTTTGCAAGTACAAGAACTTTGACTCTGCGAGGTTAGAGCCGGGTAATACACAGATAAACAGACAGGGAGTCAAATAAAACAAGCAGCGGGTAAACCTGTTATGTGTGTTGCAGGGATCCAAGGCGTCGTGGAGGCCTACCAGAATTGCCTCCCCAAGATCCAGCTGTACGGGCCCACCAACATCGCCCCAATCATCCAGAAAGTGGCCTCGTCCGCCTCCGAGGAGATGCACACCAAAGAGGCCATGGTGAGAGAGAGAATGAGAAAGATAACAGAAGAAAGTTTAGGGGCATTTTGTTTGTGTTGTTGTGACTCTTGGTGTTTGCACAGGTCAAAGGAAGTGGGACGAAGGAAAGAAAATGAAAAGACAAAAGATGGTGGGGGTGAAAAGATAGAAGGGAAAGAAGAGGAAAAAAATGAACTGAAAAGAGAAATGGAAATGATTGATATTAATTTAATTCAAGTCATAGGTTTTAGAGCAGCCTTAATGCCTGCCACCTCTCTTAGCCTCTCTTAGCCTCTCTAGCGGATTACAATGAGTTTTATTCAAATAAACAAGAAATCACTTTTAAAACATGAAATTCAGGGAACATCCATTTGTCACCTCCTCACATTTCACCTTCTCCTCACACATCTCCACGCTCCCCTCTCCTCACCCCCATCCCCGTAGGAATACTTCATCCTGCTGATCCTGACAGACGGCGTCATCACCGACATGGCGGACACGCGGGAGGCCATCGTGCATGCCTCCCACCTGCCCATGTCCGTCATCATCGTCGGCGTTGGCAACGCAGACTTCACTGACATGCAGATACTGGACGGGGACGACGGCATCCTGCGCTCACCCAAGGGCGAGCCGGTGCTCCGTGACATCGTCCAGTTCGTCCCGTTCAAGGACTTCAAACATGTGGGTGGCTGTGGGGGGAGAAAAAGAGTGGAGGGTGTGTGGAGGGGTGGAAGTCTTGAATGTCAGGAAAAATCACGGAGCATTGATGTGGCTAATTCCCGGGGGCTTACATTTATACATGTGCAAATTGGGGACAATAGAATTCAACAGAATGGGCTTTTTCAGCTGTTTTTTGACTTTGCATAGCTACTTCCTTACATCCAGCATAACTATAATAGATTCCTGACTGTTTACCTTAATCCTTGGAGCTTTCTAAAGCTGAATAACAACATTTAATCACACAAGAAATGTGAGGAGGATCCATGGAGGCTTATAAGAAGATTTTAAACCAGGAACATAATGATATCGGGCAGACCCTGAAGTTTTCCAATGTATATTTTAAATCAAAACTTGAAAATGATTTCTCAAACCTGCTGCTAAAGGGATTTGATGTTATTGTTGAAAAAAGAAATAACACAAGCCTCCTCTTACAAATGAAAAAAGGAATGTGTTAGTCAGTGCATTCACCAAGGCCCAACATTTCCCTTTATAAAACCACTTTTAAATTCACTAGATCCACTGTTTTACTTGGATCTGCAGCACATTTCACCAAAGTTCTTCCCTGACTGATACCACAGCCTTCCAAGTTTCATGGTAATCCGTCCTGTGGTTTTTGTGTATAATCCTACTGACTGACTAACAAACAACCAAACAGACAAAACTATAACCTCCTTAATGTAGGTAATAGAAATAGTAGAAGTAGTAAAATAGGTAATGAAATGTGCCTCAGGGCAATATACTCATGAGTTTTGCTGCAACATCCTTACTCGTTTGTGGTTTATTGTGGCTGTTCAGCTGTTCAGCTGTTCAACAAAAGCTACAGCTTTAAATGTAAATGTAATCCAAATACCACTGCAATTAACCAACTAATACTGTGTATCGCCTGCATTAGTCATTTGATGTCAAATAAATATTATCATAAACTGCTGTGACTCTGCTGGAGGCGGACTAGCAGAAGCATTTAATGCTTAGAAGCAATTAATCCACTTCAACATGGGCTCTGTGTGTGTGTGTAATAAGCTTGGTGTGCTCGTCAGCACACACATCAGCCATCTACACACATGGCAAACGTGTGTGTCTCACATGTGCGTGTGCCTCTGGTGGCATTAATCTCGCCTGGCTTTGGAAAAGTCTGTTATGGTGAGTTTGGTCTCTGACAGATTGAGAAATCATCCCAGATAAACAGAAGGACAGAGAGAGAACTCAGCAAACGTAGGGAGGTGTAGAAACTACCTAAAAGCACATAAAGAGACAGGAAGAGAGGAGAAGTGAAGAATAAATCTGGAGGGACAGAGGGGAGAAAGAAATAGAGAGAGTAAGACAGGCCCGGTGGTGGTGGAGGGAGGTCAACAGGAGACCGGAGCCAAAGACAAAAAGGGAGAGAGGGAGTGTTTGACAGAGGTGGAGAGGTGATTTTCTGCTCTGTCGTTTCTTTTCAGAAGGGATTAGCAGGACGGAGCTACTGTGTGACAGGCAGAGCGGGGGGATAACAGGTAGATAGGAGCGGAGGAGAGGGAGTAGGAGGAAGGGTGGAAATGAGAGGAGGAGAGTGGCGGAGGGCTGCGTGGTGGGTGCACTTTGATGATGCATTGTCTCAGGCAATTATGTGAGACAGAGTATGACAGACTCAGATTTGGATGTGTGTGTGTGTTTAGTGCGGTAGCATATGTGTGCATGAAGACAAGTGGTTGGTGTTTGTGTATGTGCATAGTAATGTGTGTGTGTGTTTCTTCAGTTTTAAGTTATCACAGACCTTTGTCAGCACACTCAAACTGGAGTTGCATTTAAATTAGTATTTAAAAAATCCATAGAACAATTAGAGTGGCACTCAGTGAAGAACATACCTCCACCAAAGCCCCTTAAATTCAATGAAACTGCACCAAATTAAACACACTCATAGATATCTGTCCCCTAAATGTGCCTGAATTTTTAATTTTTTAACAACATCCATGAATTGTTCCCTCAGAAAACAGTTACAATTTTAAGAAATTAACTCTTCTATTATCTGTTCTGAGAAAAACGACATCTCACAGTATTAAAGAAATAAAAATTCCTGGATCTCCCCCCTGATCCATATTCACACTTAATGGGTTTTCCTGAACCATCCTGTATTTGTAAATTTAGATCAACTCAACTACACAGATGCATTTAGAGGTGTTACCAATGTGCCTTTGTACATTGTTTTACTTATCTTTAGATGTGGCGTATTTATTTTCTGTAACATCTGGTGACCAGTATCTCGTAACCGATGGAAGCAGAGGACAAAAAGGTGAAGCAGGGATGTTTGGAGGTTGTCAAATCAGCTTGTCTGATCACATCAGTCTCACTGGTCTGGACCTTTGACAGCATCCGGCTCAATAGCAAATTCTGGTGTCCAAGAGCTATCCACGCATGGCCCGTGATGTGTGTGTGTGTTTGTTTGTGTGTGTGTTTTTGACCTCTCTCCTCATCCTTCTCTGTCTATATCTGTATTTCCAGGCCTCCCCAGCTGCCCTGGCTAAGAGTGTTTTGGCAGAAGTCCCCAACCAGGTGGTGGATTACTACAACGCGAAAGGCATCAAACCCAAGTGTATGTCAGACTATGAGTCCACAAGAACGTTCAGCCCCTGACAATGGACTACATGCATACATACTCGAAAATACACATATACAGTATACTGTATATCATATATACATAGAAATATACATTTATTTACTGTATAGTACATATACACATGCAAAAGCACAAGTACACATACACACATGAACAAGCACACACAGGCGTACTACATACTACATACAGTAGTCTAGCTCAGAGAATTAGCTCGTTCTGGTGAAACAATTTGAACTACTCCATTGATGACTGTTGCATGTGTGGCCATGGCATCACCTGGGAAATTATTACTCTCTACTGTATATCTGAAAGATCTTTATAGAAATAAGAGCAGTCTTCTGAGCCAGCATGCAGACTCAAACCATAGCCCGCCCAAAGAAATGACACTCTTACCTTATTCAAATAACTAGCAAGTACATATACACCAAAAGATCTGTGAGTAGATGAACCAAAATGTGTGACTGCATAGCTCTAAAAGCTTAGAATTAGCATTGCAAATCTTATTATGGGATTGGTAGCGTCCCTGTTAGTGTACTGCATAAATGCATGCATAATTTAGCTCCTGCTAATATCCTGTCTGCAGTACCCTCTTGCTAGTTATGAAATAAAGTATCTCTGTCATTCCAGTGACATTCAAGCTCGTCTTGGGTGTTTCGGGTTCTTTTCTACAGATCTGTTTGACATTTTGCTAAATGGAAATGAACAACTGAATAATTGTAATAATTTCTTAATAACCTTCTTACATTGTAAAGAGTTCTGGGAGGGTAGACATGCGTGTGTGGTAGACACTCATCTGTGAGCAAAAACTTTTCTTCTGTATTCTGCATGTTGATTATAATAAAGACACGTTGGTTTTCTCACTTGGGTGTGATCTGGTGCTTGTGTGTAAGTGTGTGTGTGTCACCAATCTGCCACACACACACACAAATAACACTTAGTCCACAATCTCTCTCTCTCCCTCCCTTCCTAGCTGTCCCTCACACAGACATTAAAATGCAAGAATAAATTATCCCACTAATCTTCATATAGTTAATTAGGTCGAACCAAAGTTGGGCCGTCCTGAGAGTATGCTCCATACGTGCCTCAGCCTCTCACGGTCAGATCAGTATTCAACACATGAACCACCTGAAGTCTGTATCCCCAATCTGCTTCCTCAATCAGAGGCCACACATTTCACAAGAGTTACTTAAAATTACTGAGATGATCAATTTCACAACGGTTATGAAAACCCTTCTCTTCTTTTCTCTTCTCTTGTCCTCTCAAATCTAATATCATTCTCTTGACCTTTATTTAAAATTACTATCACTACAACTACTACCATTACTACCTCTACTACTACTACTAATAATAATATAAAACTTGCTATGATTCAGGAGACCTAAATCAGTGCGACTTACTGTACTTAATTCCGACTGAATAAAATGTATTCATTTAGCAAATTTATACAATTAAATGTTTTTATTTTCATTATAACGTTATGGCATATAAATTACAACAACACCATTTCATTGACACATCTGCTGATAAAAATCACGTCATGTGACTGAAAGCTCCGGAAAGTGACCATAAGGTGATTTATGTTCTTTTTTTCCTCAACTGATATTGACAGTGAACTTTAAAACTTAGCATTATTTATCGTTAATGTTGACTCATTATGGTCAAATGTTAATCATTTGGTAAATAGGGAAACATAATATTTAGTTTTAATGCTTTGTTGATGTTAAAATTAAAGTATAAATATTCGCTGAATATTAATAGTAGCGGTGCGGAGCGGAACCTTTGGCTTGTGCCTCAGTGCTGCGGAACTGTATTGCTCATGTACCGGAAGCAGCCAGGGTGACATTTAGAACAGGACGAAAAGAAGGCATGGTTCTGCTGAAGGTGTGAGACCCGGTGTCCTCTCGGTTATCGCCTCGCTTTTATTCTGATGTCAAAGTGTGTGGACCACAGATCGTGATGGCGGCCTGGAGCTGTCGGTTTCTTCTCCAGCGGGGAACTCGTCTCGTTTCTCTGCGATCAGCGGCTGAAAGGTGGCTAATGCTAACAAGCTAGTAGCGTCAATGTAGCTGAAGTGAGCTCGAGCATGTAGCTCACATAGACAAGGCTATTGGGATCAATTAGCTGCTTAGCTTTTCAGTTTCAGTTTGCTCTTCTCTGCTTGTCTCTAACTATCTAATAGACGTCACGATTAATATCTTTTATATTTTCTACGTTTGAGTGTTTCAATCTGTTTGTAAATGTAAATTCACTGTTTTACATTAAATATTCAATGTTACAAAGTACATGTTGTTATTGAGGATGACAGCTGATGAAGAGCTCTACGGTCCCATTCAGTGCTGCGATATATTCATGTATTGTTAATGCATTAATATCCATTTGCAAGTAGCTCTGGGTAGATTTACACGACTTCATCATTCTGCCCTGTGCACCTTTCCATTTTCTATCTTAAATCTTTCATGAAAGCAGGACATTTACATCTGATGTGGTCCATATAGTAGGTTTTACTTAAGATGAATTAAAATTAAGTATTTAAGAATTGCAATAAATTGCAAAATCTAAGGAACATATTGCTGAAAAAAAGGAATATTTAGTAAAATCAGTTGAATTGTCATTTAAATTTAAATAGAATCTGTTAAACATAATCAGAGGAATTACAAGCGATTGAATTGCTTGAAAATTATCTGATTGATTGATTTTTCTTTCCTCTCGCAGTCCTGTCCAGTCAGTGTTTTGTATCAGGACAGTAAAGACCACAACATGGTTTGATGAACACCTCACAGAGGACAACCAGGAGTACATGAGGAAGAGTGTCGCAGAGGAATACAGAAGACAGACGGCTGAAAAGCTGAACCCACTCAAAGATGAGCCCTGGCAACAGCACGAATGGACAGAGGGTCAGTGTAACACTCACTGACAGCTGTGTATATTGAGTCTTGCTGTTGACAGGCACTTAAGCTGTCTTTTCATCTGCTCCTCTTCCTAGGGAGTCGAAGAGTTGGGTTAGTGGCTGCGAAGTTGGGGATGGCTCCAATCTGGACGAAAACAGGAGAAAGACATGTAGTCACAATGCTACAGGTGACACACAGACACTCGTACCTGTCGTGTTTTCTTTTGAGCCATAGCTTCGCATCAGAATAGCTGCAGGCATTCCTCTGAAAAATATGTGTGTTATGTTTGTCCTCCATAGTTACATAACAAACAGTGCCGTTAAAGCAGTGAAATTAATTGGATTGCTCTGTAGAGGGTGAAGGAAGAATACCAAACATTGAGCACTTTTGAACCTGCAGGCTTTGCTCACATCGTACATTTAAAATACCTCAGTGTTCGTAAACAAGCTACTGCTCTCGAACAAGGTGTACACAGGAGATATCTGAAGCCGAGTTTATTCAGAACACGTTTTTCATCTAATTAACTAGTCTGTCAGCAAAGTAAATTAAAAACGTACTGTGGCTGTGTGCGTTCACCGTACTCTTTATTGATGATGACATAATCTTGTGGGTAGCATAACAAACTCCTGTTCAATTTCAGAAAAAATTGACATTCTCAGTTTAAATGATTAATATCAAACTCACGGCCTCACAGAGTCTCAACAACATCTGCTGATTCGCTTTTGGAGCGTTTAGTTACTTTGTTCTTTGAAGCTTATACAGAAGCTGTCTGTATGAAAGTTAGAATATTTAAATTACTTTTCAAGATTTTCTCAACACTTTGGTTTTATGTGAAGGGAAACTGAAGGTTTTTCATAATGCAGTGAATAAGTACAAGACAGGATAGATTGTTGTTAGTGTGTCACAGGGGATTAATTGTTGACATCCTGAGTTACCATGTGGACTGATGTTAAAATATTTAATATGAGGAACTTATATTTACTTATTACTTTAGGAATTTAGTTGCATCTGTTTTCTCAAGAGGTGAAAGCTTAAATAAAATACTGTTTTCACATCATCTTTCTGATCGTTAAAACCTTTTTGTTTTAGGTGCAAGACTGTCATGTATTGAAGTTTTTGTCCAAAGAAGAATATGACGGACACACGGCCGCTCTCCTTGTTGGGGGTAAAAACGTATCACCATTCTATGTAAGAAAACGTTTAAAGTTTTTATCTCAGCTGTGAACTTGGACGTGTAGACATTTATGACTTAAAGGTACAGTGTGTAGAATTCAGTGATATCTAGTGTTGAAGTTGCATGTTGCAGCTGAACACCCCTCACCTCACCCTCTCCTTCCAAACATGAAAAAGAACCTGTGGCAGCTTTTAATTGTCATAAAAACTTAAAAGGTGTTTAGTTTGTCCAGTCTGGACAAATGTAGAAAACAAGGCGGACTCCGTAAAGAGGGTCCCCTCGATGTAAATATTAAGTATTTAAATATAAAGGGTCTTTTTTGGGGTAAAGAAAACTACAATTCATACAATTTAGATGTAACAAGCTAGTGAAAATATTATGAGGTTTATTCTACATTAAATTTTTGCCAATAGTTCCCTTTCACCTAAATCTTACACACTGGACCTTTTAATAGAAATTAAAACACTACTTAACTTAGTTGTTTCAAAGTTTCATAAAGCCTCTTTCTTTGATTGCAAAAGTTTTAGAGTGTTGAATTTGCACTGAATCGTAACGTTTTATTTTAATTTATCATACCACACTCAGTGCTCTGAATATTAACAGAGCAGCCACAACTCGTCAGCTGGTGCCAAACACTTTATCACTTCAAAATGTCTTATGCATGAAGGATGCGTGCTGTGCATAGATGATTGATGATTTCATCAAAATGCTGCCTAGTCATTCTGTACACACCCAACACATTTCAGTTCCTCTCAGTTCTGGCGACAGTTCCTTACCATTGAGAAAAAAAATCAGACGTGCAAATGATGCTGAATTTCTGTCCTTTCCCAGCCTGTCAGTGCAAAGACCTTTTATTAATACAGATCCATTATTCAGGAAATTATACTCGCTCACTCAGCACCAGTAGCTAAGTTTCATCTTAGGTGTCAAAATAAATGGGATACAATAGATTTCATTGCTGCTATTTCCCATAATGACTTCATTAAAAAAATATCTGTCATGATAATAATGAACCTGAAGGTCTCATTCTTGCTTCAGATGCTTATCAGAAGTGACACACTAAAAACTGAGGTGAGGGTGAGCTTATCGACTCCTCTGATCAAAACACTTTAACCTGTGGTTAAAGTGTTTTTTAAGAAAATTGCCTCTAATAATACGAGGAGATCTTTCCTCTTCAAATGTCACATTCGTCTTTCTGAGATGACAACAATAACGAAAGAACAAGGAATGAAACAAAGTGTAATTTATTCATTGAGTCTTGATAGATGCTTGATGGATCGGAGTCAGGGTTTCACCTGTCGATGGTGAAGTTGTTTTGAATCTCTCCCTCAGCTGTATTAACCCTCAGTCAGAGGCAGAGTTGTCAGTGTGAGGAGCTTGGCAGACTGATTTTCAGTCAACAGCAGGGAAGAAGGAGACATTCGAGGGACTGTTGGGGCTGAGATGAGAGCGAGCCGCGTGAAAGCAAATGTCAGACACACTCACTACCAAGTGTGTGCGCGTACGTCTGTGAGCGTGTGTTCCACTCGCCTATCGCCTGTAACTGTCGTATGGTTGATTTTGAAATGTCAAAGTCCAGCTGCCGCTCAGTGCTTCTGCTTCTTATATCACTTTCCCACCTTTGACATGTATTTGGTTCTTTCTTCCCATCGTTTCGTCTAACAGAGACCTGAAGCTGAAATGGAGATGTTCAGGAATGCAGGAGTGCCACCAAAACAGAAAGTCGTCACATTTAAAGTCACAGACAACGCCCTCCTCAAACCAGGTACACATTACCCACGTCACACATTAGAATCT